GAAAATTGAACAAAAACATGCGTCATGTCAGATTCGGCTCCTCAAGGTGACTAGCGTCTCACGGCGAATCCGTGGCCTGCTCACCTACAATACAGTGCTATTACGACTGTGGAGTAGTTTGGAAAAATTTTAGTGAAGTAAAAAAATTGTCAAAATTTCTGCTATGTCGTATAATTTTGCAACGGCCGTTTTTTCATTTTTTTGACCCTAGATTTCTGGAATTTGACAAAACTGCTTGGAGATTCTCTTTGTAGGTTTCTTTACACGCTGAATCGAATGGCATTAGCCATTTTTGTGCTAGTTTCTCGCAACTTCAGAAACCCAAAATTTGGGGTATGTCGTATAGTTTTGCAACGGAGTGTATTTTGACATTCCCTCAACCTAGCATTGCAGGTAACGTTCTACCGCTTCTACCATGTGTTTCGGAAAGGAGAGCTAGAAAGTCTCGTTCATTCGATACCGTCGCTGAGTGTGGTTCACTCCTCATTCGAACATGGTAACTGGTGTGTCGTTGTGGAAAAAGTAGCCGGTTGATCAGATCGAAGAAGAAACGAAATCAGAGTGCCAGAAGCCGACCTGTGAAACTGGAAGATCGATCACCGCCTGAAGACCTCAAATGGTATTACTCAGTGACGAATATCCGAGAAGTTGTGCCGTTTTTATCTCGCGACATATCGTGAATTACGAGTTTATGTGCCTTAATTTCTGAGACTTACCCATTTATAAGATATATAAATCAGGCTTTGGGTATGATTAACTTACGCAACATCTCTGTCACGTTGTGCTTTACAGTCCAAATACTGGGAATTTGAAGCATTGCAAGACTTCGAGTGCACCAGTCACGATACTCTGGTGTCCATGGACATGAATAGTGGAGAGGGTATACGATCAAACAGGAGGTAAGTGGCATGGGAGCAATCAATGGCGTTATGCGGCACTGAAGATGAATCCGCTTACCCCTCAAAATCGCCTGCCAACCACTGTAAATGTGGCGAGGACGATAGCTGCAGCCTGATTTTCATGAAAATGTCACCGTTCTTGTTGAGTTTTCATCTGCACCTCATTTCTAGTGTTTCTAATTTCTTTCTTACCCTATCTTGTTTCGATAAGAGTACCCTCTGAAAGACCTTTACTTTAGCCGTATGCTCGTCCAAACCAAATAAACAAAGGAAGAGCGAAACGAGTATTCAGCGCACCTAAACCACATATAGTAGTAAGCATGTCACCCTACGCGAGCGATCCGCTATCGTGGATATTGAGACTGCTTAACCTAGGAATCTATCGCAGTCAAGTTGCTAGGCGATTTTTGATTAAACTCGCTGATTTGTTTTTCCTTTGAAACAAAATTGTTATTTGTATGTGTAAGGATAAAGAAATGAAAATAATGGATAAACATGTCATGTTTTACAATGATTACCTTAGGAATATGCATCACATCGGAGCACGTTGAGAGACAACCTTCTCGTTTGACCGATTTGGCGTTTGTAACAAAATTCTCACGACCTCATTCTTATTGCTGGAGTTTAATGAGACTCCTATGTGGCATGAAAATTTTCACTTGAACAAAACTAAGCGTGCTCCAATGCTGTATACTTGCAGCTGTGCGGTGGGCGCCGGAACACGATACCTGAAATGACAGTGTGGCACGGAACTAGCAAAAGTCAATATTTCAAAGAGATCGTCATCATTTTCTTTGGCTGAATTTGGGAGTCGATATACGAGCAAGAACTTTATACGGAACATTGTAATGGGAAAGAATAACTCAATGCAGAGGAAAAATCATTGGGAATAACATACATGAACAGATTGTTTATGAAAATGAAAACAACAGACTCCTCCCTTTGTCTCTTACCCTGTTCATCCTGTGCAAACTAAAGGCAAATCGCCCACAAGCTCAGTTTCCAATTTTGGGGTTAAGCCATGTTTCAGTGAGGAAAATAATGTCAGGTTTCCTTTCGGCAATTAGCAAATGAAGATTCATGATTTGATTCAAGACTATGACATTAATTAGTAGTCAAGAA